GTTAATTCTAATGGTAATTTTGTAATTTAGTTCTCTCAGCTTTGGAAGGAGCTAGAACAAAAATTTTTTACCATTAAAAAGGGAATTGTTTATACGATATATACCACTATTCAAAATAAAAAAATTCGCACCTGCGATTTTTCCAGAATATGTCGCCTAAATGCCCACTGTACTAGGGGAATTTGGCGATGACAGTACAACTTTTAACCCATGAGAATACTAAAACATCACTTCCTTACCTTCCGCTACCTGATTGCACGTCTCCTTGTCTACACTTTTTTCGAGTTTATTTGGATCTGATAAGCTTATATTGTTGGTCAAATGTTTAACACTAGTAAAAAGGTTTGTAACTTTATAATTTTTCATTTTGAAAGTTTCAATTTCGCGTTTAACATTACGTGTTATAGAAAGTACGTCTTCACTATCAATCGAATAACGGTGCATTAAAGCAGCTGGAGTTTCACTTACTGCTGATGGGATTGTCGAACAAAGAAGAGTTAGCAGAAAAAAAGCGGATAGAGAAAGCATTTTTGGAAATAAAAAATTAAAGTTTGGCTAATCAAAGAAAGTATCTAAATAAGAGAGAAGCAATAATGAGCGCCATTATAATTATACAGTCACATCTTTGTTACCAGCACATTTCGATTTGACAAGGAGAGACTTTAAAAATACAATAATCTAAATCATAGGTCATGAGAAAAAGTGTTCACAGGATCTGACCGCAGAAAGTAGCAGAGGAGATTTGAGAATTTTTTTAAGTCAGTCGCATTCTACGTCTAAAAACTTATTTTATTTAGAGCATTTTTCTCGAAGAAATAGTCAAAGGACGATATGCGGCAATACTGTGTCTCAGATAGAGATTCCTCGGAGAGTCGTATGCTGAGAACGTAACTATCTCTGTAAAAACTGTGCTGGAGGAGGAGAAAACACTTTTTTTGGGAGTTAAATGGCATTTCTTCCGTCTAAAACTATCCCTTCTCTTGTGCACACAATGTAGTGGAAAGTCCTAAACGGGGTCGTACTAACTCCCATCTCATATATTTCTGAGTTGCAGGGGACAAGGGGAAACAGTCTCGTACTGAACGGAATGAACTCTGCTCTCTTTTCATCTATTACTGAATTCAAGAGACCACCTAGGCACGTTCGGGGACAAGTTTTTATTACGTATAGGACACGAAAAACGTGTATGGTCAAATTCAGGACACAAGATGCCCGACCAAGACAAATTTTTCAGTTTATCAAAGCTTTCTCACTCAATTAAACCTCAACACAAAGGTCAAATTTGGAATCAGTGTCAAAAACTGCATCAATGATGTGCCATTTATCGCTTTAGGCGAAACCTAATTTTCACGTTTTCTCCGAACGTTCAAACCCGGTTTCGAGTTTCAAGCGATTTCCGCGCTTAGAAGCAAATTTTTGAAACACAGAAGACTTTCTTTCCTGATTTTCGAGTATGTGCTTTCAGAACAAGGCATTTTAAAAGAAATTCCGTAACCGTCTGCGGTCCATCAACGTTTTAGGACCCCGGCCCGGGCAATGGGCCATTAAAAAACAACTAATCTAATGTGATGCCAATCCCTCTTTTGGTGATTCTAAAAGAGCATACTCAAAAACCAGGAAATAAAGCCTTCTGGGTTTCAAATATTCGCTTCTAAGCGCGGAAATCGCTTGAAACTCGAAACCGGGTTTGAACGTTCGGAGAAAACATGAAAATTAAACATCGTCCAAAAGCGGTAAACGACACATCATTCGATGCAGTTTTTGACTCTGGCTTCAAATATCACATTTGTTTTGTGATTTCATGATTTTTTGGTTGAGGGAACATCGAAACACTGAAAAACCGCGGTTGGTCGCCTATTTTGTTTCCTACATTGGACAACCGCGGGAAACTTTTTACTCAAATTGTTTTCACCAGTTTTGTACAAAATTAAATTGTCTACAAGACACTAGATAGTAGATTGTCCCGCCGATCTTCTATCAAGTCGAAAGGGCGTCATGAACTTAGAAAACCCGTTTTGGAAAACCTTCAATTTCAAATGATCGTTTTTAAAAATCATCAAATGAGCCATAAATTTCGAAAGACATACGTTTCGATGCAGTTTGATCTGTTCTTTCAAATGAAACGTCGCTCGAGCACAACAGATATAAAATGCCGCATTTATAGGCGAAATACTTTTAGGACTGTCTTTTCCGGCGTCTCTCAGCCTGGTCACTTTGAAATGCGTATAACTGGGTCAAAATAAGTGCAAACTCACTCAAAAATTTTTCGTAACTCCAGATTTACTTGTAAATTCCAAATATGTAAAAATATCAGTAGGTTAATTTTTGGCGTCAAACGGTCCTCTTGCTTGTTTCTCGGTTGACTGGCGAAACCTCTCTTAAGAAAAAAACGCCACAGAAAAGAAAAGAACAGAAAATATGCTATCAATGCACGTTCACGAAAATTAGGTAACGCAAGAAGACCGAAAATGAAAAATGACGTAACTTATGTAAACTGTGCGCAATCGGTGCACAGCGAACTTATGATAATTAATTGCATAATTTTCGTAAAATTGACTTATAATGTTTAAAGTGGTTTCCGTATAAATTAAAACGGCGTTTTTTCTGTGAGATGTGAAAGTAATCTAAAAGCAGTAGACAACGAGCGAAAGAGCAAGAAAAAGTGAGTAACGCGAAGGCTACAAAATGCGCTTCATCAAAACAGCATGGTTTACACATATAAAATGTTATACATTTTCACTGGTTCCTGATTTAATATCAAAAGTCACTCGGGAAAAGCCCATATGTACGTGCAGCAACATCAAGTAAAAGTCTTTCTTAGACGTCGATAACAAATTTATTATTACGAATCGTAAAGTAGTTTTCTGATATCGATCATATTGTTCTACAATAGGACACCCTAAAGATTTTCCATCACCCTGTACGTTATCAAGCAACTAAGTTTTTTAAGGGATACAGTTTTCATTACACTCGACATCAGTGAACCAATATCCGCTAGGTTGTGGGAGAACTAAAAAACTGCCTATTTATAGCCCTGCCAGTTGGATTTAATTCAAAACTGAAGTCTGCTTCAGCTTTCTATCTTGGTACTTCTTTTAAGTGCTAACTGCTTCCTCCTGATATGGTTTATGAATAAAACTACTACAGAATTTAGGTTCCACCAACACTATACCTTTTTCCTTCCTCTCTTTTTCTCATCTCATTGACAGCTACTCGAGTTGTGTCATTATTGACACAGTATACGAAAAACTCAATTTTCTTCTTTTTCCACTTTCTCCAGACCCGATCGTTTATGACGTACAGTTGAAAATCGCCTACCCTATATTGAGTAGGATTTTTCAACAGTATTCCACGTTGTGCTAGCGACACCATTTACAAGCAAGACAAATAGAAAGAGAAATAGTTGAAAAACAATGATCGCATGATACCAAAACTATCGCTTTTAATCCCTCTCTCTCTCTCGTATACACGAAGGTAGCTATACATTGAAGCCTGAGTAATTTTTGTGATTATTATTATTTTTCATCTTCTTTGATTTTCGAGTGCTGGCCTTGTATGTACACTAAAGAACGAAAGAGATGTACTGTGTGTATCTCGATCAGTGGCACTGAAGAATAACAACAACAGAAAAATACTTTGTCAATAGAAAAATAAAATGTGATTCGATGAGATGTTGTTAAAAAAACTGGTGTCGTAGCAGAAGAAAGAAAAAAATGGAACGATCCTGGGGAAGTGAAGACAAAAGAGAAATCTTTGTCTCTCTCTCTGTTGTTACACGATGGTACTTACTGTAGTCTAAGACATCAAAGACTAAACACTTCATGACATTGAAAAGAAAATGTACTGTATTTTTAGTGGTTGCTAACGTACAGGAAAGAAGGAAAGAGATGCAGCCTTACTAGCATCTTTGTCAATGTCATCTGAGGATCAACAGACAAACAAATAATAATTTGTGAGGAAAAGAGAAGATCATGATAGAGTAACAGAATAACGAGACAATGTTTTGTAAATTTGAACTTCGCCGAAAAATAAAAATAAAAAATACCCGTTCACACTTTGTATAAAAATGAAAAGAAGCAAGAATATTAAACAAAACCCCTATGTACCATGCACAAAACAGACCAAAATTTCAAAGTGATAAAAGAGGGTTGGAGGAGCTATGAATATTGACATACCATGGCGGATATTGGCACTCACAGTGTCTGTATAATGAGAGGTGACGCGAAATAAGAGTAGTATCAGATTTAGACAGCTTATCTATGCTGACCAGCTGCGTCAAGAATTTTTGACTGTCTGCCTGACCTTTTCCCTATGGGATCTCCCTTTCGACTTAGTGTCATAACTACATATAGGAAAAGCGCTACGAAGCTGCCCCAATAACATTGTCGTTACCTCACACCGTCATGGGTGAAAGTTCTCCTTGCTTTACAAGTTCATCGGTAGTCGTGGTGTGGGAGAGCTAGGGTCTTAGGTTGGTAGCTCAGTGACATACCATTAGTATGACTGTCCCTTGTGACGGCTTTTTCTGACCGGTAGTCTTCAAAACAAACTGAAACCCTGAGATAGAGAGAGAGAAAGGACCTGCATTGCCTTTTTTTCCGTACACCTCGCGCAAAAACCTTTTAGAAACCGTTGTCGACATTATGTGCACAGATTTTCGTTTTAAGAAGGTCACTTCCTCCTCATTATGTCTAAGTAGATGAGAGGTCGGTGGAACGACTTCAATCAAAAACTGAAATGGCAAGGAGAGGAGGGTCACTAAGCTTACTGTACCATTATTATCTCCACCGTAAAATTTTTTTTAGCGAAAAAGATAATAACGTCTCCTTGAAGCTCGAGGCACTAAACACAAAGTATCACAAAACAGTGAGATTATCATTCCTGAAAAGTTTTTTCCTGACTATATGACAAGTTTCTAAGATGAAGATGCAAAAGAAAAAACACCACACACACATTTTGAGAAAAAATTCTCCGCATTTCGTTTCACGTACGCAATGAGGCTACATGCTCGAAGTGCTGTGAGATCGCTCCAGAGCCTCCCAGCTCCCATAATTAGCTGTACCACCTTCGTGTTGTTCGTCACTAGAGGAGGAATTTTTCAATTGATGCTGAGTTTCTTCATGACAATATTCTTTCACCGTTACAGTACCGTCGTCATTGAAGACAGTTAAACGACCATGAGCCGGCGAAGAAGAAAGTTCGGCTTCATCATCATCGGGGTCATCTTCTGAAGATTGGTTGTGGTATCGTTCGTCGCCAAAAACATTCAATTCTTCTATTCCACGCGAAATAACATCGGTGCTTTCTCGTCCGAAATGTTTAGCTCCTCCTTCCTTTCTTCCTTTTTTGGTTTTCGTGTTATCACCAGATCCCTGTTGCTGACCTAAAAAACAGGAAATAGTGAGCACAATATTAGAACGTGAGAAAGTAGGCACGTAGAACGTTAAAAACGCGAGATTTCAATTTTAACTTCATTATCGCTCAAAGAAAAGTGTCTTAATGGGACAGCTCGTAATGTTGAGTCGCCTTTCAGAATTTTTGGAACCATAGAACCTCTTTTTAGAAAATTTTTTGTTGACGAAAACTTATTCACTAGAACTTCTCTGTTGGAAAGTGCTGAAACCCTGCCTCACTTAAGTTATAGACATCTTTTAGAATCTTCGTCCTTTAACATTTCCTAATCTCTTATGATCTTCTTATTCCTGAATTCTAAATATCAATTAAGATTACTTACCTTCGTCCGGTTCTGACAGCACCACGTTTTGTGTCAAACTTTCGAATATGAATGGTCTTTGTCGGTTGTGTGAATCTTTTGACACCTTCTTACACACGCCATGTAATAATGTGCTTATATCTTTACCTATTTTGCCGATTTTTTCGAGCAGACGACCTGTGAAACTTGAATGGCGCTTATGCGCTTCGGCATCTGATGCTGTCTGTCCAGGTGAACTTGCGAACGCCACTAGATAACCGGCATCACCTTTTCCCTAAATGTGCATTTGGAAAAAAACGAAATTAGCGTAAAAGTAGCTTACCGGTGTCACACAACTTACGTATGGAATACGCTGAACCGGAGGTAGCACATGTGTTGCATAGTCGCTTGAACAGGTATCAAGCAGAAATATAACGTTGTAGCTGGTTCTGGCTTTCATTGCTATTAAAGTAGCTTGAACGTTGACACAGTATTTGTCGGGAGTTTGCTTTTGGGAACAATAATAATGATCGATTGGTTGTAAGAAATTTTGATCCTAGTGACACAAAATAATAATTTAGAGTGTTATTGGAAATGAGGGAAAAATGAGATTTAAGTATACGTACTCCCCATTGCACACCATGGCCACAATAGTAGAACACAACCAAATCATTCTTTTCAATTTTTGAAATGAAATAATCGATTTCGCCTTTCATTTTGTCAGCTGTCAAGTTGTGGCGTTCGGTCACACAAAATTTATGCTTTTCTTCTAATTTTTCTCTGATGGCTTTGGCATTGTCGACTGGAGCTCTAAGTTCATATCCTCGTGGACACATCAGATAGTCCTTATTGCCGATAACTAATGCAAACTTTCTGTGATAAGTGATGGTTTCGTGGGGATTATCTGCATGTGCGGCAGTTTTCTGCCGACTTGGAGAAACGGATCTCTGACGGTGTTCTTTAGTTTCCCACGGATCTGCGGATTTTGGTCTTCTGTGGGAACGTTGATATACTGGGTGAGGCCTGATATATGTTGGTTGCTGTGGGATCGGTGTTTGAATATATCGGATAAATGATGATGGGTGCGGGGCAGGTGGTGGATGGTGTCTGACATATACTGGTTGCGGTGCGATCCATATAGACGATTGACTATGCGAGGGTTGATATCCAGACGGGATAAATGTTTGGCTATGCGAAGGGTAATATCCAGACGGGATAAATGTTTGGCTATGCGAGGGTTGATATCCAGACGGGATAAATGTTTGGCTATGCGAAGGGTAATATCCAGACGGGATAAATGTTTGGCTATGCGAAGGGTAATATCCAGACGGGGACAAAGATGGTTCAGGAAACATGATAAAGTCTACTTGTTTTGAAACTAAATTGCAAAAAAAGTGTAAGAAACACGATGTAAACGTTCCTTTTTGAAAATATTAACATGAACTCACCACAGTCGTGTCGGATGCTTGTGCTTGTCTTCTTGTAAGGTAGAAGTACGAGGAGATGAAAGGGGTGTTTTTGATAAAGAAAAATGAAGCGAGACGTGAACAAAAACTTTCAATATATATTCCCACGTTCAAAAAGGAAATTTCCAGCGCGAAGGACTGACAGACGAAAGATGCAGAAAGTCCGTCGGAGTCAACAGCTGCATTTATTCTACTAAACGCAATTACTGTGGATAAATGCTCGAAAGTAACTAAGCTTACATCTTTATTGTCTATCGTCTAGAATTTCATCATAGCCCTCAGATGATGTCATTGAGAGATTCACGCTGTTGTTTCCTAATATGACAGAGTTTTACTGTTCTTTTACTCCTTTTTGTTGATCCATTTTCGTTCTTCGATCAGTAATGATGACTAAGAGAGATTACTTCTCTCTCTCTCTCTCTGCCCGTGTTTCTCTCTTAGTCATCATTACTGATCGAAGAACGAAAATGGATCAACAAAAAGGAGTAAAAGAACAGTAAAACTCTGTCATATTAGGAAACAACAGCGTGAATCTCTCAATCAAAACATTAGTCGGTTATGAATTTTCTTTTCGAACGTTGGAGTATATATTGAAAGTTCTTGTTCACGTCTCGCTTCATTTTTTTCCATCAAAAACACCGCTTTCATTTCCACGTACTTCTACCTTACAACAAGACAAGCACAAGCATCCGAGACTGCTTTGGTGAGTTCATGTTAATAGTTGAATGACTCTTCCTGAAGCCTGACTGAAAGACAGACAGCAACTTATTCTTCTGTAAGTATTCATATAATCGTTTATACACTACTCTCTCAAGTACTTTCGATAGTGAGGGCAGTGTGTAATAGGATGATAGCTGTCTGGTGATGTATGATCTCCACTTTTGAATAAAGCATTCTGGAAAGATAGATTCATGTAGCGATATTCTACAAATATGTGCAATATCCTCGCTAATAATTATAGCGGATTCACGAAGAAGACGATTTGTTACTCCAGGAGCTGCTGCTTTATTCACATCCAGTTTAGATAAAACTTTCTCAATGTCTGATCCTGTAACGTTAAAAACATCTAATTTCGAGCTAGTTAATGGCAAAGTATCCAGTGGAATGTCTGTATTATACTGATTAGCAGGCATCGTACAAATAGACACAAAGTGATCGTTTAGAATGTTAGCTTTTTCCCTATTATCGTAAACTAACTGCTGATTAAAATTTTTCAAGACGGGTATAGAATATGAATTTCCCTTACGTACACTATGTTTTAATAAATTCCACCAGTATTTACTTGCGCAGCTTACATGATTTATACGATCGATCAATGTGATCTTTCTTTGCTTTCAGACATGCTTGATCAAATTGTTTTTGTGCATTTTTATAACGCTGTATTGTTTGTATAGATGCGTTTTTCTTATATAAACAATAAAATTTATTTTTCTTCTTATAGAGATCACGCAGTGAATTCGTGAACCAAGGTTGATCCCTGGCGTTTATTTTTATTTCTTTATGAGGAATACATTGATCAGCTGTTCTTTGAATTCAACCCAATAGAATCTGGCATTTTGTATCAACGTCAGCACGAAAAAAGCATGATGCGCGTCTGTTGAGTTCGTTTGTAAGAGAGAAACGATAATAGTTCCAGTCTACTCTCTAAAAAAAATCCGTAGCTTACAAAACGAATATCGGTTTTGGCATTTGCTCCTAATAGAAACCGATATCCGTATCGTACAGTCCTGCATAACCGTTTCGCAGAATACG